ATCTCAAACTGTTGTTACATGATTTATGCAATCCATAAGTGTATTATCCTGCTTTTTGTTTGCTTCTATATGCTTTAGTGCTTCCTTTACGATTCTGTTGCAATAGTTACATTTTAAATTTTGAATTACTCTCTCATCAAGCGGTTGCAATTTAGAGGTCATATTCCGCGAAAGAAATGCCAATTCTATGCATTCACACAAATACCAACAAATGGCTATACCAGTTGTTGTCAATACCTCCCCGAGGAGCCTGTAACCATTCTGGAATTCGATAACGCGGTGTTGGTGTAAGCCTGACAGTTTTCGTAAATAATTTCATGGCTCTATCCTTTATGTATTTTTTGATCGAATCAATCTTGAGGTTCCTGAGGATGTCATTCATCCTAACGTATCATGGTACCTAGAAAAGTCTTCTCAGAACCTGGCTTTGTGCAATTTCTAACTGGCGAATAGTAGTGTTTTTCGCTACACAACCATATAGAAGTATAGAAGTATCCATAGACGAATGAATTGTAATATGTAACCAAATAATAACATAACTGTTTTCTGTAATCATTCTTTGATGAAACTTCTTACTACCCATGTTAAAGAGAAAGGATTTAAGAATACTGATCCTCCTTCGGCTTTACCTACCTTAGAAACTCATAAACTATTAAGAAAATGTACTCAATATCACTTTGTATATACCATAGCATATAAAAAAAATACGCAACTTTAAAAATATGTAGGATTATTAAAGTGCTGTGTATTTAACTTATTCTTAACACCTCTTAATTAATCATTTAAAGTATATGAAATGTAAGCCTGAAGGTGTTTAAATGTGTATAAATATGTGTTATGTTAATTGAGTTTCATTAAGTTTGCACGCACATACAACACTTTCGTTTGTTACAGATTTATAGAGACCGCGTGGCCCGCCGTAAGCGTGCCAAATTCATTGTCATTTAAGCCACCAATAAATGCTTAATATTGAGTCGAAACTCAAAAAGAATAAAAATAAAATAAAATAATAAAAAACAATTCTAGAAACAGTTGATAAAACCAAATTGATGGGATACATCGACTGAAAATGCACGCTACATCTAAATATATGAGTTGAATATTACATGACATATAGTATTCCTATACTATGTATATATCAATCATAGATCATATGAAAATCATATATGCACATACCATATATATATATATACATATATACACATACAATATATGTGTATATTTGTATATTCTCTTATTGCTAGAATTATAGTTACTCTTCATCTGAAGCAAAAATACAATTATTAACATTACTATAACTCATAGCTCAATAATAGGTTGTGCAAATAGTTTAATGCTCTATTCACACAGCAGAAGTTATTGTTATATTGATTGTAATTTCCCCCCTCCCCTTCGCTTCTTAACAAAACAAATTTGAAATCACAATTCTTTATCATTCAAAAAACTGACAAGTAAAGTTAGTATTGAAAGTATTACATGCAAAATCAGTTAGAAATTATGTTAATGATAGTGCATTAGCTTAGCATTTTTGTAAATAGTTCTTATGAACTTAATGAAGAATAAATACTATTAAATCTACACAAGTAGAAATGCAAATTTAAGATTTGCTATGTGTACAGGTTTTTAGGATTTTAGGAACAGATTCACATTTAAAATTACTTTTGCTGTGTGAATAGCAAAATTAGCATTCATGACAGTAGAAACATTTTACGTGTAATTTTTGTATATTATTTCTGAAAGTAAAAAATTTACAAATAAAATAAAAATTAATTGCTAATAAAAATAATATATATTATTGCTTTATTTGCTTAAACGAAGATAGTGTTTTTTTTAGAAAATTGTTTTAAATTACTTTACAAGTTTACTTCGTCAAACTCATGGTAATAAATTTAACATCGATAAATCAAACTTAAAGGAAGACCACTATCCCATGGATATTCTTTACAATATTGAATACTTTTTGAGACGCCGCACAAAGGGGACTCTCAGTTACGTCCAAGTAAAAATTCTAAAATTTAATGCTTAATATGTTATTGTTTCTTTGTTTTTAATATGTTCGTTTAATTTACCGAAAATACCTTATTTTTCACAGAATTTCTTAAATTAATTAAAAAAATTAAAATTTACTTTTTTTTTAAATTCTGCATAAAGCGCACATCAGATTTTTTTGTCAAACTTTTTTGTGAAATGCGAAATTGTGCCAAATTTGATGTGTGATAGCAATATTTGAAGTGTTGACAAAAAAGTTTGATGGAAATCAAAAAATTTTGATTATTGTCGACGAAATTTCATACATTTTAAGGGATGGAAAGGAAAATATCGTTTCAATGTATACATTATTTTACTTTGTAACATAGTATATATGTTCTTTTTTTTGCTTGGGGCGTGTTTAATAATATCGACTGTAATAGGCATTTAAAAGAAAGTGAAGACAAAAAAATTTGACAAACAAATCTCATGTGTAATACCCTCCTAACACGTATGCGATAATAGATGCAATATCCTGTTAACATTTTTGATAAATTAAGTGCCTTCTGTTATACAGCTTCTTTCTGTAATTATCTTTAAAAGTAAATAAGCTATTTATTTCAAAAATGATCCAATTTCATTAGATCAAATGAGTAATGAAGAATAATTTTTGTGTGTCATTGTTGTGAAAATCAATTGTTTTCTTCATAAATACGAACTAAAAACTTGAAAGAAGTTTAGATAAACTTAAACATGTGTTCTTAACAATTTGAGATGTGTTATCTCTTTAGATGTATTTCTACAAAATACCTATTACCATGACCTGCAAAAATAGTAGCTAAAAGAGAAGTGTTAACTAATAAAAAATTGAAAACATGAAATATTGAAGCACTAAAACCGGCCAACAAACCAAAACAATCAAGTTTGTTTACAATCAATTATAGTTACGAGTACTATTAGTCAGGTCAGTTGACGTCACATTGAGATTCCTTATAATACATTATCTTCTTATTATTTGTTTTTTTTTATTTTTGTCATTTAACGTCCATAAAAGATGAAAGTTTCAAGTTGACTTTCTTTTATGCTAGAAAATACGAATGATAAATAATGTCGCAATGTTGTGTCATAGTGAAATCAAACGAAGAAATTCTTTCAAACAACTTCACTTTCGATAAGTTTTTGTTAATTTTTTTACTTTTTTAAAAATGTGAACAGTTGCGAAAACTACTAGAAAATGAAAAATAACACAAAAACTTTTCAAATAAGAAAATGAAGCGATAAATGCTTTCCGAAAAGTATTTATTAAAAATAAATAAATAAAACATTCCAAAAAACTTCACAAATTTTAATTTGCAAAACTTTGTGAAATGTAGATAATATTGCATTGCCTGCTTCTTGGCCAAGTAACATTGTGCAAATCGGTCGAACTTTTAGGTATCGCAAGGGCAGGAAACAAGTTCTTTCAACTTGATAGCTGCCAAAACCAACGAAGTCGCCTGTGTCTGTTGCTGCTTCAATGTTGACTACTTTTGGCAACATCGGAAATGTTTAAGGCAACTCAGCTATATGGCAATTGCAATGATTGCACTAATATAGTCCGGTATTAATATTAAATAACATTAAATCAGATTGAAAATATTCACAGTTATAGAGTTTTTAGCATTATATAGGGTTCTGGACTCTCAATGAACCAGAGCATTGCAATCATAGTTTTTTTTTTGAGTTTGTCACCGAATTTAACCCAATAAAAGATACTCAACACTTTAGACAAAACTCAGAATGTCCCTCGACATGGATTTCCAGATATCAGATAGCAACAAGAGCCCTCCTCTCATTACTCTGACGTTGATCTAGATTAAAATTGAACAGTTACAGTTACAGCGAATGTGATGAACGTTATCATCTACTTCTATACTAAAACGACATTCTGCCTCCCTAGACAGACAAATATTTATATGTAACAACTTTGCTAAAGACACGAAATTTGTAACCATAAAAATGATTTTACCAACCTTTTAAACACTCAAATTTTGAACTTCATCCCTTTATTTCCAGAGATCTATATGTCTAATAGAAAAATCGGTTACAAATTGAGCTCAGCTGCTTCAAAGTAATATAAAACCGATTTTAAATCCAAAAAGAGGAAAATACTATAGTTTTGTTACCTAGTATAATTATTCTGTAAATTTAAGCCAGCTTTTTATTATGCATGTCTCCAGCAGTGGCACCCGGAGCACAGTTATAAACTAAAAATTATTCCATATTCTACATATTCATACATATTCTAGTTGACTTCTCGCTTCAACGAGACTATACTAAATGTTATATTATCACAGCAATAAACTAGTTATTATAGCTATATAATATATATCTCAATTGGTATGAATGTATAGTGTATATCTATAATATTTTGGCGCGACTTCCAAGATCACCGTTGATGTTTATAAAAAATATTCGATGAATATGCGGAAAATAGGTGTTCTTATATAGAATTCTTAATATTATTTAGTAACAAATAATTGACTAAATCATTTTATGTCATTAATGCCGTAAAATTATCTATGGAATGAAAAAAATACTTTACTCATTTACAAATTGAATTTGTTATCTTGGAAACAACTCCTATTTAAGTGTATGTTAAACAGGAACTTTTGGCTGACCATACAGCTGTGTCGAGTATTGCCAAATACCCATTACAATGGTCTTTTGAAATTATATCTTATATATAATTATTCGAAAATAATTATCTGAGACAGCAAGTACCAAGGATGCCCTGTCAAATTTGAAGCTCAGAGTCAGCGTTCATTAGCCAACTGAACCGAAGCAGTACTTGACTTGCATAATCTAACTTGGAGTTTTGTTAATTTGCTGTGAAAGTTAGGTAACAAATTCACTTGCTGGTTCACGATTTCGTTTTAATATAACGATATATAATATGACGACAATCAATCAATCGAAGTATGCTGAAAATATTTAAGTATTTTTCCAATTGTTCAACTCTTAAAATTTTTTTTGAATTCATTTTATAATTTTAAATTGTACAATACATTCTAAATTTTCTGTTCAGAAATAGTTAAATTTTGACATTTTTAAATTTTTGTCAAAATTTTTTTAAAATTTTTCGGCTAATTGCGAGACTTATAAGTTAGATTAATAAACAATGGATGACAAACTCGACGCGGAGAGAGTGAGAGATGAGGCTCTCATTAAAATTAGGAATATGCACTACGAATTGAGAAAATTTTTGGACACCTATGACGACTCTGAGGAAATTGATGACTCAAATAATAGACGCAAATCACACATTTTGTCTTACACAGAACGTTATTCTTTGGAATATAGACTAGATTCACTAAGAAGTAAAAGGAAGTAACTTGTATGCAATGATTGAAGCACTTGAATTCAATCTCTGCTATATGATTGTGTGAACAAAACGGATTTGGTTAGATTATATTTAAATGGGTTTATAAAAAGGTAAATAAAACGGAATAATTTTACAAAACTTACTAATTTCCGTACTAAACTCCATAAATCTCACTAGCTTTTACCACGAGTTCTCAAGTACGATACATGTCAAATTATTTAGGATCCACTATTGCTAAACTTAACTAAACGTGTTGCAGTTCTATATCACAAATATATACTTGATTGTATTTAGTAGAGTGACTAGAGCTAAGTACAAACATCATTTTTGGTAAGAAAATACTACACATTTTGACATACTATAAGAGCTGATCATTTGCGCTTTCAAAGCCAATATAGATTAATAATACATCAATTGTATGATATTCAAAAATTTATAAAATTTCCAACAGCCATCAATTAATTTATTAAGAACTGAAAAATCGATTTAAAAAAATTAAACTGATTCCTTAGTGGGTACACAATTGTCTTTAGTTATATAAAGAATTAAAAGTATATTTTAGATTAAATAACACAATATATGTGATATAAGTCACCACATTAAAGAATGGCGTTTTTAATTGCAATGGACTCAAAGTATTTTAAATAATCTCGATGCTATTTTTTGTTTTATAGTTCAAATAAAAAATTCCAGTTTCCTTTTACTGATGCGCTCTTCTATAGTATTGTAATGGACTTCAAATGTTCCAGGTAAACACGATGCTATTTGTCATTCCACAGTTTAAATCAAAACTTCTACATTTCTCTACCGAAAAGCTCTTTTAAACCATTGGGAAGGACTTGACATTTTCCAGGTAATTGCGATTCTATTTGTCATTTGGCAATATAATCAATGCTGTTTCTGGTTGTGTAGTTAAAATTGAAATTGCTACCTTCTACCGATGCGTTCTTTGATAACATTATTGGGCAGTGTTGTAAAACAAAATCGCAATAGGTCAGGAAGTTCTGCAAGTTAATAATACCCGAAACTAGTTTATTTAAAGACAAAAGGAATAATTACCCTCAAGTTTGAGCTAATAGATGAAGTGTTCAAAAAGATGATATCGCTAAACATTTAATAAATCTTTAACCTATCTAAAATAAACATTAATGCTCAGTGATATTTTAAACTTATTATATGAGTTTCGCAAGAAGTCAAATAACCAAATTTACAATAACACTTAAAATCAAATACACAAGAATCAACCTAGGCAATCGTTCTAATCAATATCTGGTTATATTCAAATTATTGGCCATAACTGACAGGTATTACTTTTATATATATGATTTTAAAATTATTTAAAATAATCATCTACTTAATAGTTTGTAAACACATGTCTTCAGCTCTTGTTGCTGCAGAAGAATATTGGAAGACAAAACTATTCAATATTTAACAAGCCGAAAATTACGCAAACTTCAGTTCTTTTTTGATCAGTTTTATGAAAGATGCATGAAACAAAAGAATAAACAATCTGCTTAAATCTGCTTAAAATTTACAGTTCAATTAATATTTGTATTCAATAAAATCTCTTAATATAAAAACTTTTAGATACTTTTTTTAGAAATATATGTCAACTATTAGTTGGTATTAAGTCTAATACACCATAAATATGCGAAAGCATTAGAGATTTTCACTCATATATTCAAACAAAGAAAACGAATCTTATTCTTAATCTTAATATCAGCATATGTAAATAATAATTATTTAATAAATTATTATAAAATTTATATTTTGCAATAATAACTTATATATAGACTGTCAAGACACATATTCTTAAGCTTAAGATGACTAAGTCCAGTTTATCACTTCATCGGAATGGATTACAACATCAACAACAACAAGAACTTTAATTCCACATTCTTAAGCTTAAGATGACTAAGTCCAGTTCATCACTCCCATTGGAATAGATTACAACAACAGCAATATCAATAGCATGTCTTTAACAGTAGAACTAGAAACTTTTACTTAAAGTTAAGTTTATTTTTCCTAAAACTTGAGGATATTTCGTGGAATATGGAGATTCAAGCCTAGGAAAGATAGACCCTATACTGTCTATACTACATTAAAGAAATCGAACTTGGACAAGCATTCCAATTTTTCTAAGGGGCACAATTGATCTTTTAGGTTACAGTGTACTCTACCTTTTTCATAATAATAAGACTTGTATGTGAAATTACTTAAAGCTAAGTTTATTTTTCCTAAGACTTGTATGTAAAAGTGGAAGAAACAACTAGGAGAGTATTTCATTGAACATGAAGATTCAAGACTAGGAAAGATAGACCCTATACTGTCTTTAATTAAAGAAATCGAACTTAGACAAGCATTCCAATCCTTCTAAGGGGCACAATTGATCTTTTAGGTTGCAGTGTATTCTACCTTTTTCATAATAATAAGACTTGTATGTGAATTTACTTAAAGTTAGGTTTATTTTCCCTAAGACTTGTATGTACAAGGAGAAGAAACACCTAGGAGGGTATTTCATTGAACATGAAGATTCAAGACTGAGAAAGGTAGACCATATACTGTCTTTAATTAAAGAAATCGAACGTGGAGAAGCATTCTAATCCTTCTAAGGGGCACAATTGATCTTTTAGGTTGCAGTGTATTCTAACTTTTTCATAATAATAAGACTTGTATCTAAATTTACTTTAAGTTAAGTTTATTTTTCCTAAGACTTGTATGTACAAGGGGAAGAAACACCTAGGAGGGTATTTCATTGAACATGGAGATTCAAAACTAGGCAAGATAGACCATATACTGTCTTTAATTAAAGAAATCCAACGTGGAGAAGCATTCTAATTCTTTTAAGGGACACAATTGAATTTTTAGGTTGCAGTGTACTATCCTTTTTTCATAATAATACATATATATATGTATCTGTACATATGTACACATATGAATATATGTGCAAGTACATGAGTAATCTAATCTAACCGTTGGCATGAAAATGAAATACTGGTACATTAAACTTCTTGAAATTCTTTCCTAACAAAACTTCACTTTTCACTTCACTCCGGAAGAATACGAAGAAACTTAATAAAAATTCCGCGCATTTTATCATTTTATTATCATTTGCGTTGAACTGAGTAAATTTCTTAAATAGAAAACTTTCGCTGTTAACACAATTTGCATAAATTACTCGTATTTGGAATAAAAAAGAAAAACATGTGAAATATAAAATGTAAAAATGTAAAAATGGGAAAACACTGAAGTTGTTTTGAAAGATTTTGTGCACTTCTTTAGCATTCAGCAAAAAAAAAATATATTTAGCTAAGAAGTTGTAATTGAGTAATTCGCATTTAAACGACCAGGCCAAGACTGAAAATTGCTCAAACATTACGCAGTTCCCGCAATAAAGACTCGCAAGAAGCGCCAAAATGTGTTGAAAAGTGCAAATAAGTGGGAGTTTAGCACTCTTTATGAGTGCTTCATTTGTTTAGCAACATTTTGTACATTTTTCAGATGCCTTAAATGGGCCACATTTTAAGCCAAGCCAACTTAAATGTGGCAGATTAACAGCAACAAATTAGCATTTTTACACTTTTTCATTGAAGTGTCTTCTTCTTTTACTTTTCTCTTAATAAACGAGTTAATATGCAACAAAGCCAACAACCGCAATTACAGCCGAAATGCTTTAAAAAACCACAAAAAGATAACACAACGCCAGCAACAACACCGCCAGCAACAACTCCGCCAGCAAAAACAACAACAATATCAGTAAAGAAAAATGAAAAATGAAAAAGAAAAACAAAAACAAAAACAAAAACAGTGCCAACAAACATTATCTAACAATAACAAATAACAATAACAACATAACCACTTTGATATGTAAACTGTTTGGCTTATGTTATGCTAGTGTATGTACACACATACGTGTACATATTGTTTGAACGAGTGCATATGTATCTGCATTTGTGAGTGTGTTTGCTGTCTGTCTGTCCGTTCGTATGTTTGCCTGGAATTGGGCTAATAAAGACGTTATCATAAAGACTCGCTACAAATTATTCGTAAGAGTTGCGATACCAAGAAAAATAAGGAAAAAAATGCGCTTATGGTAAATTGTTTAAAAAGGAAAATGTGTTAATATGTCAACTAATAAATTTGAGTGGGTGTGACACTTTAAAAGTGGATTAAATACTTAAGAGTTGCAAGATGTGTCGCGATAATTAAGTAGTATTTTTAGGTTTTTTTTATTAAAAATTTTATTTTAAAATAAACATTTTTTAGGTTAAAACTGCCATAAAAAATGGTTCAAATACTAGTTCTTCTAAGCATAACCATTTTATTTGTTAACATAGATTAAATTCATTTTGTTTTGTTTTTACATTTACATCTCCAATTTTAATAAGAGAATAAATTTACAATCTATATTACGAACTTTAGGTATTTCGCATTAGGTATTATATCCCAGTAGAAAACAGATCGATCCGTCATTGAAGACGTCCATGCATTGAAGACATGGATACATGCCTGAAGACCAACCCATCGATCTAAATGTATGACGGTCTTCAAAGACATTTGGGAACAAATTAGTCAAATGTCGTTAAAGACATTTTGCGTACATGTCTCGAAGACTGGATGCATCCATGTCTTGCATAGCGGACGTATCCGATTGAAAGTTCTGCGGTCTTAGCGCAGCTACTCTAATTGTTTTACCTTTTTCTTTTGTTTTTTTTTCTTTTTTTGTGCTCTTCAAATTATAAATTTTGTTTCTCTTTAAATAACTGGAAAGATATTAGAAATTTGTACGTAACTAGTTTTTGTTATTTATTATATATATATTATACACAATATATATTATACATTATGTTTAGATAATATAGATAAATTTATTTATAGATATAAATTAGAATTAAATTAAAAAATGTGAAGGGAGTAAAAAATTTTATCTCACAAAATACACTAATCTCCCTATAACGTGTTAGCCTTATAATGCGTTTTCATAACACGCCCGTATAACACGGGCATTCCCCCATATAACGTGAGGGTTTGTACAGTTCATAATTAGCAGTTCATAATTAAACACGTGCAAATTAGTACTTTTGCACATTTAGACATTTATGTATTTATGTACATATAATAAATCCAGATATTCTGCGCATTGCATATATAATATTATTTGAATTTTCTTACTTACTTAGTTGGCCATTACAGGCATGAGTCGCCTTTAGTCGCGACGAATAGCTTCCCCCAAATCGTTTATCACCTGGTCCTTTCACTGAAAATGCAGACGTCCTCTACCGCGTTTTCCACCTGCAGGTACCTAATCAAATACCTTTCTAGCTAGAGCATTGTCTTCCATTCGCACGACATGACCAAGCCAGCTGAGCCACTAAGTTTTGATTTTTCATACCTCTTCACAATACCTTATATTCCGAGTATGTATTTTAATACATACAGATCCTCAATACGATCGAGTCACAGATAACGTCTGCATAGATGTCTACCGAGAACATGTTGTAAGTTCAAAAAACAGCTTTTCGTCAATCAAAGTTCAACATACTAACAAAGGTATTGAATCATAATTAATTTAAGAAGTTCAACTTTTGTGATTAGTTCTCTGAGCAGATGTACTTTTTATTATTTTAACTTATATAGCTAATTTTGCATATAAAGGAGCTTTTCACTATCATTCTCTCTTAACTTAAATGTAAATGTTATTCGAGTTATATTAGGTATACATGTGAATGACGATAAATTGTTGGCGATTGAACGGCGATGGAACGGTCAAATTTAAAAATATTAGTAACGCTTCGTATATAGGGGTATATAAAATTTGTCAGCAATTAATGCAAAGAGCTGAGACTTAAATAATCAGGTTTGTGTGTCTTCACTTTCCAAGTTTTACTTGCATACCCATGCAGTCATCGCCTTTACAATCTCTTCTAAGATTCTTCTCTATTGAAGTTTTTTTTCTGAATTTAAGGTTTATAAAAAGTTTGTAAAATTCACATTGAACTTAAAAGTTTAAACAGCAATTTTTTTTATTTCAAAATATTCTATAGATTTAATTTATCTAGTTTTTTTTATTGACATAATATATTATTCTTTCAAATCTAAGAACCTAATAGAAGCATATCGCCACTAAAACAATCTATATACTTGATTAACATTTAATTCAAAGAATTTAATGTTTTTCCTTCTGTGGCAGCTTGAAGACATCTTATAAAAAAGATTTTCATCTCATTGAATCTTTTTACTATGCGATTACTTTTAATGATTACGATTCTTAGCATATTTGCCAACTTTTGGTATACAATATAATCTATGATGTTGCAATGCTCTAACAAATTTTTTAGCAACAACAAGAATATCCATAAAAACATCTGTCCAGCACAAACTGATATTCCACTGGCAAATCTGTGAACACTTTGAAGTGCTGTGATGTGAAGCAAAAGTGAAAGGTATTGCCAGTTGCGCTATTCGTAACTGTAGAGACGAGTTAATAACTATAAAATACAAAATTACGCACAAACAATTTACCACAAAATTATTACAAAATTTTCAAAAAAAAAAAAAACTTTTTTAAATTTATAATTAATGATGGCTAACCACGTTAATTTGAAGTATTAATTTGTGCGCTTGCAGCATCCACTGCATCTGAGCGGAGCCACGGCACACATGCAACAAAATAATGCAATGCAGCTCGATGTGGCCCAAAGCCGCTACAATTAGTGTTGCCAAAAGTATTGGAAAAATAATTCACAAGTGTTACAAGCAAAATAAATACTTTATCTGCATGTCTGCATGGGCTTACATCTCGTATTTGTATCTAAAAATCGGCCAACGTATCACATGTAACCTTGAAGCTGACGCAAAACTGCAAAAACTAAAACAAAAGCATCAAATTCATTAAAAAAAGCAAAAAAAATGGAAAAAAGTAACGGACATAGTTTTTGGCCAAAAGCGCAATTGGCACAAAGGTTGGTTGAAGCTTGATTGGCTGTGGGCTCTTGAAATCGGAAATCTAAAGCAGGAAATCCACAAGCGAAACAGCCATGAAAATCTTGAAAACTCTTTTGAGAAGTTGAGAAGTTGAAAAAGCAAAATTAAATTAAATACCAAAGTGCTTCGCAGTCTCCTTTTACCGTCGCCGATGGCTCAAATGCCTCAGCTGTTATGGTATTAAGTTTTTGCCATTGTCACAAATCTCAGCAACCGTACAAGCGCACTTGCTCGAGTGCGAGTATCTTCAAGATACACAATTGCGTAATTTCTTAGTACTTTTTTTCCAACATTTATGTTTATTTTTAAATGAAACGAAAACAAATCGCATTTGAATTGCATTGGAACGCTGCAAATTCATGCTGATGTTGTTGGCGATGTTGACGAAGTTGCCGATGTTGACCATTTAAAAAAAAATCTCACGTATACAACACGCTGCGTTTCTATTGATGTAGTTCCAATAGTCCAAAGTAAGATACTTTTTCTTATATGCAACGAAGCGTGCTTAAATTAAAATAATTGCTTTTTGATAAAAAATTTATATTGAAACCAAGCACATTAATAGAAACTTCACTTTCTAGCAAATGGATTACTTCTTCACTCTTCACTACTCTATTACTTCGCCTACTTGCAATAATTCAGTTTCTTAGTTACAATTTAAATTCTTTCTTCGCAATTTTTGAAATTCAAAAGTTTGGCGGTTCAAAACTAATTAAATTTTTTTTGAATTTGAAACAATCGAACTCTTGACATTTTTGCAAAATTTTTTTCCCATTTTCCAGATCGAGCTTTGATCGCTCTAATTTCTCAATCAATTCTTTGTGAAAAAGTCTTCTTATAATCTGCACTCATCAATTATGATTATAATTATGATTACTAATTTAGAGGGTCGTGATCGCTTGTAACTCTAACCATTGTTTTAAAATCTAATGTATTTATATTATAGACATATTTACTTTTTTTATCTGAGTGACTCAAAAAGATATAGCGGGAATCTTCTCAGTTAGAACACATATGGCTGGCTTTTTTGATAAAGTCTAATTCGTTGTGTATCAAAACATGATAAAAAATTTGGATTTATAAAAATATTTTGCACCCAATTATATTATTCATTAGTAGAGTTTTCACTGTAAAAAAAATAAATAAATAAAAAATAAATAATAATTGAATAAATAATTTTGAATAAAAATAAATCTACAAAATGATGTTTCTATAAAATAAAAACATCTACTGAAAGTGCTACTGTGTTCTAGGGGCGATTCTAACTCACAAAACAGATAAATGAAAGCCAAAATGTCCACTGTTAAGGACATTATAACATTATACGGATATAGGTACGATTATCCGACCCATTAATCTCCTACTGATTTAAATCGAAGCCGGGCAGTCATTGTTAAGTGGTCTAGAGATGTCATCGATCTACAGCAAGACTAAACATTTAAAATAAACAGTTAAAATAATAACAAAGATCATAATAACCACTCAGTTGACTTAACAACAATCTCAGCTCTCTTCTACTGATGAGAGAAGCACGTAATAGACGTAATAGAAGTTTTCAAGTTTAAACTCTGTTTTATTTAGTTTTATCTTATTTACATTTATAACATGTTTTTAAGCACTACTGTGACTTTATTTACTTACACCTTAAGATTTTCGAAAGTTCTACTGAAGTTATTACTATAATACAGCACAAAATATCAATTATAGTCGCTGAGCTTCACTCTATTGGTGGCTCGTACCCTGTTTATTTCTATTACTATAATAGCTATTAT